TTTTATCTAAATTGTATAGTTTAGTTAGTGTATATAAGTCATATTGCGAATTGTAGTGTTAATATATTTGTGGAGGCATTTTAGCGCATAGTTCGTGTGGCGGGTAATATTAGTGTTCGTTCTGATTAATGAGAAGATGACAATGTCTGATAGTTGAAAATGTCTGAATCAGTAAATCTGACTGTTTGCTACGGCGTTGGTAATGTTTGATATAATGAGTTGGGGGTTGATCTTAGCGAGTTTAAAAATGGTGTCATGACACTAGCAGACCCGGACAGACTGGACATTAGACAGTTGAAGTACTGGTTGACAACTAGTTTCGGGCTGGATCCCGAAGTATGTTCCGTCAGTATTCATGCATTGTGGACCAAATCTTGTAAAAATGTCAAGTGGGAGTTGATGCCGGTAGATAGGAGCCAGCGTTGGTTGTCCCTGTTAAGACGCTGCCGAGACCGAAGAATCCACCCATATGCACTTGTGCAACCTGTGCCGAAGGAGGAGAATACCGTAGAACTCCACAGGGGGTATGAACCCGGCCAAGGCAGTGAAGTGGCTAACGAGATTGTTTTATCCGGGTCACAACTACAAGATGTGGATGCTAGCCAACCCGAGAAAGAGTCGGACTACGTGCCACACAATGTTTGTGGTCCTGATACTGGGCAGAGTAGCCAGTTGATAATATTAGATGGTTTCGGTTTTGCTGATGGGGATGAGGAAGGGGATGAAATGCAGAGGGTGATGGAGGAAGAGGACGAGGATGGATTGGCGGAGGAACTGGATTTTGAAAATTTTGAGGATGAAGTGGAGGTACCAATTCCTTCTGCATGGGATCAGGACATATCCACCGGCCTTACGGTCAACGATGGCCATGAGACTCCATGGTAGTATAATCTAAACCAAGTACAGATAGGGGCTATGTTTGATACAAATAAATTCAATTCTTTCTTGCCATTCAATAGTATTACTAATGCTTATCTGTTGTCATGCACAGCGACAGTTTGCGCATAGCCAGGTTAGGGGATGCTACCCGTCCTTCATGGCGCAGTTTGATAGTTTGCACGAGGATCAAGTTATCTGGGAGCCATACTCGCCTCAGGCTATATCATCGAGGTGCCCAGTTGGGATTTCTGGATTGTGCACTAGAGATCGGCACTATTGGATGACCAAGGCCAAGTTGGTATTCGACGTGACAGCTGAGGAGATGGCTCTTCATAGGGTGATGAGACAGTTCGGTCTATATCAAGAGCCTGAGATTCCAGATATTCCACACTTGCCAGAACACGTGCACAAGTAAGTACTAATACTATTTTAATTGTCAGCTCTGCATTCAGAATATACCTAATCATGTATCGCGTATGTCAATCTCAGGGAAGGTCGCTTAGGAGGAAACAAGTCCATGGCTTATTGGCTTAAGACCATTACCCCTTACATTGACGAATGGACTATCGCACCGACAAATATCTGGGGTGAGGTTCGGCCCTTTAACTGGGAAATGTTTGGGTTGTATCTGCAACGTTACCGGCATACAATGAGGATCTACATGGTTCCATCAGCTGCTCCTGATCAGATCGAAGCCCCTCTCACCAGCGATATGTACCCAATTGCCTCTGTTGTGGGAAGCAGACACCACGTGGTACGTGCCTTGATTCTCATATGTTAAGTCTTTTGTTAACCTAGACATATTCGCTTGGTTATTTATTCGTGGTGTATATCATACAACGAGGATATAATTGGTTAACTCTTCGTGTACATGGTGACTTGACAATACAGGCGCGAGAGGAGGTTTCCGCCTTAATGCAGCGCTTTCAGAGGGGAGAAACTATCCCACCGCGAGAGAGCATCTCATGGTTGAGGCGTCTTGATGACAAGCTACGCGGGATTAACGCAGCTGTTACGTGTAGATGGTCTTCGGATGTTGCACTTCCTCCTCCAGCACATCGTCCCCATTCAGAACCACGACCCTCTATGCACCGTGGAGAACCTCATCCTTCACAGCCAGGGAGCTCTTCCTGGCATCAGCCACCTCCTTCACAGCCAGGGAGCTCTTCCTAGTATCAGCCACCTCCTTCACAGCCAGGGAGCTCTTCCTGGCATCAACCACCTCCTTCACAGCTAGGCAACGCTTACTAGCATCAGCAGATGGAACTAGGTAACACTACTCACTACATTCTTTTCAACATTGTAGTAATCGTTCCTGCATTCTCAGCAGCCACTGATGCTTAGTGGTGGTGCTTTGTTCATGCATTTGTATCAACTTTACATGTTTTACTTTACCGCAGGCGGCAACCAGTCACAACCGTTCATGCATTCAGTGCAGTCACCGATGCTTAGTGGTGGTGCTTCGCACTTTGAGGGCGACGGCGAGGATGATGACCAAGATACAAACATTTATGACTTCTCGCACACAGTGTTTCACACTCCACCACCACCACCGACGCAAGAGACACAGACTGTGACAGACGAGGTTAACTATGGTCGTGGTTATCGCGAGCCTCGTCCACCGCCACAGCGCTTATCGCCTTCCGGTCCTCGCCCGAGGAAGATCCGGACTCGTGTCGTCCCCCGCAGTATTATGGTTATCTATGTATGAGTTATTATCTATGTTACTTTCAGACTATTCGCAGCTGTGAGTCAGTATTTATGTATGAGATATGCTTCATGTTGATGTATCAGGAGACATATATTGTTTTATGTATGCGAGAGACATATTACTATTAATTCGCATTGTTATTCCAGTTACATTTCCAAAGAGACTACAACCAATAGTTAAGATACAAGTACATCTGAATTAAACGGTGCGGCTGAACTTAATAAATACATCTTACATACTATAAAATGAAATTAAGATAGAACATAATGCCCTACAATAATACAATACAATCTAATAACGCAAGTACATCTGAATTAAATGGTAGAACTGGAATACATCTTACATACTACATGAAGTCATCATCGTCATCCTCCGTTGATGCAGCCCTCTTGCCCTTCGACGATGCGGTCCTCTTGCCCTCCATGGATGCAAAACTCTTGCCCTTCGAGGATGCAGAATTCTTGCCCTTGGACGATGCAGAACCCGGAAGCGGCGACATGAAGATATCATCTTCGTCCTCGCTCTCCTCAGTCCATAAAAATGGATTCTTTGATGCAGTCCTTCTGAAAGTTTCACTCTTCAGCTCCACTACCTTCTTCCACTTTTCATGCGACCTAAGAAGTTCTTTACGTACCTCCTCATAGGTCCTTTCAGGCCACCCAGACCTATGTAATTCGTGAGCCAACTCATTCATTATGGTGTCACTACCGGTGAGTTCGTCCCATGGAACTATCATATTGTCCATCCTGAAATCGGTAGCTAGCCTAAGAAGAGTCGTGCTCATCCCAGCATGAAAACTATGATCTAAAGGATAATGGGATATCTCGAGTAAACTGCACTAGAATGCTTATCCACCTCCACCTGAAGGGATTTTTATAGGTACAGAGGAGAAAATGGCGGGAAGGGGTTGGCGGGAAAGGGTTGGCGGGAAACGGGTGGCGGGAAGGGGTTGGCGGGAAAATAAATTGGCCAACCGTTAACGGGAAAAGGTGGGCCCAAGGGACTTTTCGGCCTAAACTTGATCAAAAAGTACTTTTCGGCCTACACTTGACCAAAAAGTACTTTTCAGCCAAAGGGTGGCCGAAAACACCCTTTTCGTCCAGCTTTGCACCTTTTTGGCCAAGGCAAGGCCGAAAACCCTATTTCGGCCAACAGGTGGCCAAAAACACCCTTTTCGGCCAACACCTGGCCGACGGGGTGCTAGATTTGATTTTTCTCCAAAGCATGCTGTAGTTTCCGAATTTGCTATAGAATACGTTATAGTTTTGAAAAAAAATCTACCAGGACGACGTTGTACCCAACCTTGATGAGTTGACGTGAGTTTGAGCGTGAGGAGGACACACATATCGAAAATCCAAGTTTGTGATCATGGTGCCGTCTTCTTCGATGGGCTCCGGTGGTGCAAATGGAAGTACAAAAGGCAAGGATGTGATCGATTTGGAGGCACCAATGAATAATACGAAGCATAAAGATGGGAGCTTGACGATGTGTTCATTGGTGGGGAGATATTCTCGAAGCTGTCGAAAGCGGCAAGGTGCCTTGTATTTATCCACATGTATAAGTACGAAGTTTATTGATAACCAGGTCACATCCATTTTCATGTGTCAAATATTTTGAATTTGTTGACACTTCAAATATATTTTGGAAATTTCAAAATATCAGTTTCACTAGAGCCTAGGGCCCAAAAGCCATATTTGTGGATTTTGCACCGGATCTAGCATATACAATATGAGTTTTTAATTCAGAAATGGTATTATTAGGCCAAAGTAATTATTTCACGTGTGTTAGCAAAATCAGCACTGTTGGTTGCTTTTTTTTTGATAGCTTACCACGCTTGCCGCCTAGTAAATCGGAGAAATCCATTTTTTACCCACCGGCATAATTTGTATCAAAAAAAATCATGTTAGTTTTGTCTGGCCTGTAAAATACTTTTTTTAATAATTTGTAAATCCATGTACAAAAACGCAGAGTGTGGTGGTGATAACATCTCAAAACAAATGAATGAAATTGACTCGTCCCATGAAAAAAAAACACCCTTTGTGAGCTGAGAAGCCTCCTCGCGTCTCTCTCCCATCCTGCCGCAACCGCAGCCGCCGACGCCGAGAGAGGCCACCGAATCCAGACTCCACTATCACTCGCAGCAGTAGAGCACAAATCCAATGCATCCACCGTCAAATCAATTTCAGCGGCACGCCGGAGGGGGAATCGAGGAGGAGTTGGGGGAGTCGGATCCATCGACCTGCCCGCGCGGCGGAGGCGGCGCTCCCCGTCCCTTCTAGATCGACGGCGACGGGCGGGAGGTGGGGGAGCGGAGCACCGGAGGAGCCGCGACCTCGGACAGGAGGCCGCCGCCCGGGGCGCATATCGCTCGATTGGTCCTAGCTAGGGTTTCAGTCAATCGGCGGGGACCATGGAGTCGCCGCCGCCCAAGCGCAACGTCGGCCACGGCGGCGAGGACGGGATCAGCGCGCTCCCCGACCACCTCCTCCTCGACATCCTCGAGCGCCTCAACCTGCGCGAGGCGGCCCGCGCCGGCGCGCTCTCCACGCGGTGGCGGCACCTCCCCAGTCACCTCTCGCGCGTGCACCTCGACGCTGGTCACTTCCGCGGCGCCACATCGCTCGAGGTCATGGACGCGTTCACGGGCGCGGCGCGGGCCTTGCTGACTCGGGTTCCTCCCGCGGAGGGCGTGTGCGAGAGTGGTGCCCTCAAGGTCCTCGTCCTCACCTTCTACACGTCTTCCCCTCACCTGACCTCCATTGGCCGCCTCGTCGAGGGCATCGTCAGCTTGGGCAACACCGAATGCCTTGAGTTTTGCATATCCCCGCCGGGCACTGACCCGCTGGGCATCAGCATTGAGATTGGGCAGGAGTTCATGGCCTTCTCCCGTGCCTACCCAGTTGCCTTCTCGTGGCTCACGACGCTTATGCTCGAATATCATGCTTTTGGACATTCCGACATCACTGACCTCATTAGCACTTGCGGTAGGCTCAGGCACCTCAGCTTGAGATTCTGCAGACTGCTTGATCTGCACTCCACGCTCAAGATTGATGTGCCGTGCTCTGAGCTCCAGGAGCTCGAGTTCGTCGGCCTTTTGTGCACACGGATCGAGCTCGTCTCTGTCCCGAAGCTTAGACAAGTGGAGTGCAAATGTTGGCTCTTCAATAACCCTCCAGTGCGCTTTGGCTACGTTCCTGAGCTTCGCGGTTTAGTACTCGCTTCTAAAGCCAAGGCATGGCAAGAGCCATTCGCGCTGAGCGAATGCCTGTCAACGAGTGCTGGTGCCAGGAACCTGTCAACACTGACTCTCTGTTTTGGGTACCAAATGGTAAACTTAATTTCTGCGCACCACTTAAATATAAATCTTCTGCATCTTCATACCACGTGTTCTTCTCTACCAGTTTCAGTTGTGCATGTATGTTCTTGCTGCAGATTTGGATTCAGCCAGAAGCTCCGAAGCAGCGCATTGCTATATTCAGAAACCTGACCTCTGTGCGTCTTTTCGGTATCTTCGGTGAGTGTGATCTGAGCTGGACTCTGTTTATCCTTGAAGCTGCACCTGCCCTACATGATTTGGCAGTAAGTGTTACTTAACCTTCTTTCTAATTTAGTCCACATCTTAGCATGTGCATGACTCATTCTACATTTTTATGATGATATGTTTTTCGGATATTCAGCATTTAAAATGTACCAACAAGTTAATCTAATTTCCAACCACTCATCAACTTGTCGCAAATACTATAAGTAGTGCATACGAGCCGCATTGTAATTTTGCAGCGAGACAATGTCCATGCAAGGCCAAAAAAAAAGTTGGATCGTATCTCATGTTAGAGTAATCCAAAAATTTGTCATATGTTTTTCTTGAAAAGGAGAGTCTAGCCTCTGCATCGAGTGATGCACATCGCCGTCTTATGTTTCATATTACAAAGAATCTTGGTTAAAAGAAATAAGAGGATAATATGGTTGTAATTACAATGGAATCTCAGAAGCATATTCATGTGCCATACTTATGATTTAATTCATGCAAATTCCTTGAAAAGTATATAGGGGTGTCAAAAACGCTCTTATATTATGGGACGGAGGGAGTATTTAATTACAAATGTTGTCACCTTGTCCTTAGGGTTGGTGGCAGTTTAATTAACATGTGTTATTTACTTTCTATATCATTGCTTGAAGTTGTCTCGACATTCATGTGTCAAGACGCCCGAGGACAGTGCCAAGAAGACCACCATCGTGTGGGAGCCATCCAAGGATTTAAAGCACCTGAACTTGAAGGTGCTGCAGATCTTCGGGTGCGAGGATGAAGACAAGGTGACAAACTATACAAGGCTTGTCATGGAACGAGCTGTGGGGCTTTTGATAATCCAGTTGTATGGTGAAAGCCCATGCACGCACTGCGATGCCGACAACCTTGAAAGATCCAAGGCGGAAAAAGCTAGCAGGCATCGGATTAAGGAGCAACTCACACATGGATCATCCTCATCCGTGGAGATAATTATCTGTTGACGGATATGGTCAGGGAGTGCAGTGGTCTCATAATGCTCGCAGGCTTGCAGCAGCTTGCGCAATGACGGTGGGTCGGTTGTAATTCTAATTTCGAGTTATTGGTAACCTGAGAATACTTTTGCAGTGTGGACCTCGCAATACTAATTTCTGGTTATTGGTAGCCTGGGAATACTTGATCGCACTCTAGCTAAATTAAAATGTGTGTACTCGAATCTGGATGCATGTTTTTCTTTTTCAGTTTACCGAGTAATTGCAGGCCTACCTTCTGCTGATTTTTTACCTGCCATTTTTGGGACCTTTGCTTCCTGATGAAGTTGTCTAGTCAATACACAAGCATCAGACTGAAGTAATGGAAGCAGAGGTTGACTGTAGAGAAAATTCCTGCACACCTTTTTGCTATGTGTTGAGAAATTCCATACTCATGGAGACGGTCAAAGGTACGTATGTTGTTTTGTTTGGTTTCTCGAGGCGTTCTCTGTGTTTCTTGAGGTTTGGCATGCCAGTAATCTACAGTTTAATTATATTCCGTCATATTTGTTACCTGGTCTACCAATGTCGATGATAAATTTCAGACGATAACCCAACCCAAAAAAACAGCAGGGATATCTTAGCCTTTTGCTTTAGCCGCACTTAGAAAGTGTTCAAAGGTAACATTCCACAAATATTTCAGCACCCGGAGTTGCCAATCGACCTCCGTTATTATGTTGTATCCATACTGAAGAGCTTGTTGCCTCAAGGAGCCAACACCTCATCTGATCCTACATCAACAATGCCAAGTTCTGGACAAGGTTGGACTTGCACTATAGACTTGTAATGCTTCAGCAAATGTGAATGTCTCCTTCAGGAGAAGGTTTCAATCTTCTTCCATTTTCCAAAGAATTCAAACCTGGCGCACCTGCACACGGATTCAAAAATGCCAGCCTGGTTCGCTCCAATTACGCATCACTAACCACAATATGACCCACGAGAGGACCATCATGAAGTCTTTATTTTCTGTATCTGCAGCTCAAATAAGAAGTGGACAAATAAGTATCCGTTAGGTCGGAGTATAAGAACGTAATGTGAATCGAATAGTTATTCAGTAGGCGAGCGAGGCACTTCAGCATCATTGTTCCTACTTTTGTTGCACATAAGTTTCAAGAAACTCTATCCAATGAAGACTACATGAGGTAGCCAAACAAAAATACAGAAATCTCCAAAGCATGGAAAATCAGCAATTTGCTATCACCTTCAGAATCACCAAACAGATCCTCCAGCTCCAAAACAGAACAGAGTAAGAAAGTCATGTATCACACCTTCCTCCCAGACCTTCCAACATGATGTTATCCGTGTTGCTGCTGCAGCTGGAGGAGTGTGAATTATGGTAGCATGGTTGCCGAGGTCGTCGAAATCATGGTCAACAGTTTGATCCTGGTTGCTCTTGCCGCTTTCGAATCCTGGATGACCCTCAGCAATCTGTGCCTAGTCGGTTTGTCCTGGATGATGAATTGTGTGTCTGTAGAGTTCTCGGCAAGCAGTTCTGGAGTGAAGTACATTAAGTAGCACACAATTTGAAAAAAATGTACTAGTAATCGATGAAAAACTCAAATGAAATATGCTCTGCTGTCTGCTTCATCCTTTGCGACAAGCACAATGTTTGCTGAATTCAGCCGGTGACAGTTGGGCCATCGGCCTCATTCGTGCAATCTGAAGATCACTGTAAAGATGGAAGCTTCCTGGTTCTCTCACCCCACATGAACCAAATAGCAAAACATACATGACACGGGTACTACTACATGGAAGTTATAAGCCCCATCTGGGTACCAACAGGGTGTTGCAACAGTTGCTTTTAAGGTTGGAAACACCATTGGTTATTCCCCCCTTTCACTTGGTCACAAGTTCACAACCCAAACAGAGTTGATAACACAAGGCGGAGCAGGAAACAAGTCGGACACACTACCCTGTCTCGACCTTCTAAAAGAAAAACAACCAGCCTTCTCGTCGATTTTTATAAAAGAAACTGCCAATTTTACAATTAAACAATCAACGTAATAGAAACGGAAGCTGAAAACAAAAGCAACACCAGACTTGGGGCTACATAACCCCAGTCCCACCCAGCCTGCACTAGAGTTTAGAGTTTCACACATCCCACATTTCAAGCACTACCAAAAGGTAGCAGCATAAACTACAGCTCAACAGTTCTCAACACCCTGTCTCGACCTACAGGGCAAAATAACTTATGGCATTTGAAAAGTTCACAACAAAGCTCTCTTATTAGAAGTTGAACATAGTACCAACACGTGTGGATATATTACTGATTGAACTCGACGATAGCGAAGCCATCTTCAGAGAACTTTCCTTCGCTTGTGGAACACTGAAACCTCACCGCCTGTCGCCAGTAGTAGTATCCTCCGTTTCTGTGATAGCACAGCAAAATGGAGCAGTACATTAGATGCCTGTTCCAGGCCATGTTTTTCAATCCCCATATCGCTGTGTGTTTCAAAAATACTCCAACATACTGGTCCAAGACCAAATAACAACAGCAACCACTTTGAGGTCAAGATGAAGTCCAGCTTCCAAATAATGAGCGCTCCGTATTTACACGAAACACATTGTTGCTTACAACTAATTCCAACGAATCAGCACGCCAAGATAGAACACAGCAACCAAATCAAAATTACTAAGCAGAAGGATGTGAGAAATAAAGAGCAGGTAAGTACTCACACTGGCTTCAGTCAATCATAGTCAGAGTGGGCGAGTGTAGACACCAATGGCATCAAGATACCACCCTGAACGCCCAAAGAAGCCAACGATGCTGCTATTGCTCGCTGCTGCCATGCTAAACGGAATCCCATCTCCTTTTCCAAAAGGTCCATAGGTGTGAGCACTCGTGACCAATGTAAGGGACGTTATAACATTGGTTAATGCACCGTAAGAACCCACCGTTCCAGAGACTTCTTTGAGAAACTCTGAAGGCTCAAGATGGATCTACAGGAAAATAGTTAATGGGTTAACAAACAAGGTAGCAATTTATAAGGAGATTACCAATGGGCTACAGGAGTAGGGCATTTTGGAGACCGAGCTCCATGGAGGCCTTAATTTTGAAAAGTTCAAAATTCAAACTTTTCAGTTTCAAAAAATTCTGAAAAAAATACACATGTATACAAGGATGTAATGTGTATGTGTGTAAAATGTCAGTATGAAGTACCTTGAATTGCAAGCTGCACAAAAAAAAAACAAAATCATGGACTTTGATGATGAACAGTACATGTGCTAAAAAGCCCCGGAATTTTTTTTTGTGTAGCTCTAATTTTACCGTATTCCGACCTAAAAATTTACACATGTATATTATGTCTCTAGGTAAATGTGTATGTTTTTCAGAATTTGTTTTAACTGAAAACTTTGAATTTTGAAGTTTCTAAATGAAGGCCTCCATGGAGCTCGGTCTCCGTTTGGCATTTTCGTGGGCTACAGGGACTACTTGTAACAAAGAAACAAAAAGACACACATGAGATTAAGTCTAAGATTCACACTCACGACATCGTTGTTCTCGCCAGGATGGCTGCCCCATGGACCTGCGGTATGATGCTTCCCATCATGGTCTCTGTATGAAAATGCAAGTGATTCTACCAAAGAGCCGCTGTAAATTGTCACGCTTTCTAGACGCTGGGGTACCACCTTGATGTCACAGGCCCTTCCCCCTCCTTCACCACATGGCCCAATCCTGGCAAGTCCAGCCTGACCAACAAACCAACAATCAACAAGATTAGTAGAAACAATAAAATAATGAGTGGAAAAAATAAATGAACTGATGGAATCAAGAGTAAATTATACATCCTCTATCCTCATTGTTTCCAGCTCATGGATCTGCTCCACTTGATCACATCGCATGTCTTCTGTAAAATGTCTGCTCACATGAAAGGTGGGATGATTGGCATTCAAGTACGTTGCATCCTCCGCTGCCTGCACCTCTGAAGTTGTTGCACAGCGACAGTCTAGTTCAACGTCCAAAGCTTGAAGGGAGGTAAGATTCTCCAAGCCGAAGTTGAAATCAACATAAACATCCTTTGTCTCCGCAACATCAAAAGTAAGAGAAAGCCTCTGCAGCCCCTTCATAGCTCCTGGTCTGAACACCAGGCCCATTGCACGACTCATGAACCTGAAGTTTACAAGGCAACAGAATGCTATCGCATGACCGCCAGTTCTCTCTGTGATCTCCAACCTTTCCTTTGTTGGGGCTTCTATCACTTGCAAATAAAGAGAACAAAGGGCAGGCAAGCATCCGAGACTCAAGATATCCTCCTGGAGCAGTATCTTCACCACAATGGATAGGTTGGAGAGGTGTGAAAGCGATGAGTTGATCCACTTTGGTAGTGTGGAGAAAGGGCTAAACGCCAACCAGTGTACAAATGCAGCGAGGGATGCATTTTCTTCATTCTGGTGAGCACATACGGTAAATCTTCGGAGGTGTGAAGGGGCCCAGTCGACCCGCAACATGAAATCCAGTGAATAATCTGGAGCGAAGATATAAAGAGCTTCAAGTTGCTTCAGATTGCACAAACACTGGAGCAAACGCTCCTCACACCTCTTGTCCCATTTACGGAGTGAAATCTCTAGCACCCTCACTTGCCTGAGATGAACCACAGTGGATGGCAATTCTTTTATCCTGGCTTCCTTGAGGTCAAGTGTCTGCAAAAACTGTAGATTTCCAATTTCTTCTGGAAGCTTAATGCAAACATCATAGTAATAATGGTATACCTGGCTTAGCCTCAGATACCTCAAGTGAACCAAATTTTCCACACCTCTGATGTTACGTCTGGTGCACTGCTCTAGTTCCAAGACACGTAGAACTGGAAAGATGGAGAGGGGTGGCATTGAATTAGCACGCGAGGATACGAAAAGTGTCCTCACATGAGGCAACCTCTTGGTAGCCTGAGGTATGCCATGCTCTCCCTTGCTGTTTCGGAGGGATAGCCGATGTATGCTGTCCGGCTGAGGTGGAAAAGGCTGCTGTCCATTCAATATGGTGACGAAGTCTTCTTCAGCTGACAAGAAAGTAATAAATTCAAGTACCAAATCATGTACCTTACAAGCTTGCGCCCTCCCAAAGGCATCAACATCAGTTGGCTGGATCATACTCCTATTAATAAGCTCGTTAAAGTACTTGTCTCCTAACTCATACAAGTTATCATCTTGTCTTCCACGAACTAAATCTTCGGCTATCCATCTCCGTATCAAGTCATCTCTCCCAATTATTTGGTCCTCTGGAAATATGCTTAGGTACAGAAGACAAGCTCTTAGCTGTAAAGGCATATCACGGTAGCTAAGAGATAATATCAATCTCATGTCCTTCACACCATGATTATTCTCGAGTCCAGTACTAATTGAGTTGTACACACTACACCACTGATCCTTAGTTTGTGATGGTTTGTTTGCAAGTAAACTAGCTATGGCAATGATACCTAATGGCCAGCCTTCGCACTTCTCTAATATTTTCTGTGATACAACCTTTAATTCGGCAGGGCATCCGTAGTTACCGAATATTTTGTAATAGAACAGTTGTTCAGAGTCACAATCTGAAAGAGGCTGCAGTTCATGAACGATACCATCAACTTTGTCAGAAGAGCAACATGACCTAGCAACATCAACATTGCGAGTCGTCATGATTACTTTACTGCCAAGTTTGTTTTCAGCCAGAACACACTTGATAATTTTCCATGGTTTTTCATCCCATATATCATCAATGAGAATCAAGTACCTGCAGTTTTGAAAGAGCGTTATAAACTGGTGAAGTTAACTGCTAGCTACAATCAAGTTGAGACGAGCAATGGAGAACCAACGGACTATCAAACAAATTTTTTGTGAATTTATCAAACAATTAACAGGGAGCTAGGAATAGAATAGTTATAAGGCAATGATGCAACACCAAATGATGCAACAGGCTTGAATAGTATGTGAAGGCTCTCTCTATAAAGAATGTATTCTATTGAAAGCAGGAAATGAAATATTCAGAAAAGGGCTTAAGGGCATATACAAGGGCACTCATCTAATTTCAATCCTCATTTGTCAGCGGACAAAGTCGCGAACATCCTCATTTGTCAAAATGTGGTCTCCAGCGGTCTCCCCCATTTCACCGGAAAAATTGTCTGAGGCATTTCATCAAACAGGTAGTGTGCACTGGGGCGAGCTCGCACAGCCACGCCATGGTCGCCGCAGAATGCACTGCCGAGCTCCAATGGGATGGCCAGCAGTTCCCCACGCGTGCAGGCCACTGCAAACGCACGCACACCCTGCCCGGCCGGAGCACGCGCGCACGATGCACAGGAGCACGCACGCAGCGGCCGGGATGTTGTTCGGTCGCGCCCAGCCAAGCCCAGCCCGGAGGTGCCCGCCGTGTTCCGGCGAACGTGTTATTCGGTATATGATGAAAATTAGTGTGGGATGAAGCTCTGTCCTATTCTCTATCTTTAATTACCACGAAACAAACACGTCGAGGCATTTTTTCTAGATGAAAATAGTGAGGCTAGACGGGGTTTCTTTTACCTAAATGATAAGTGCCACATGTGTACCACGAAGCAGTCTGGACCTAGTGTTTTCTACAACTAAAGTTGTCATCCAAAAAAAAACTAAAACTTGCCATCAGAATGAAAGTTGTCATCCGCACATCACTAAATTTGCCATAAAAAATATTCAAAGTTGACATGTGTTCCTGTCACATGTGTAGCACTTATCAGGGTCCTTAGGGGTGTGAGGCTGGGAGATGGGGGTTTGGACAAAGGTCCCGGCAATGACCTGCACGTAAACGGGTCTGAAATGGCGAGAGCTCCTATTGGACGCTTTAAGCGCCGCTTAGACAAACCGGCGCCCGCTACAGTCTCTAGTGGGCCGGCCCATGAAAGGAATAGGCAGCGAACAGTCTAGCGAAAAAACCCAGCAAAAATTTGGTAGTACAGGGATTCTAACTAGCGCCGCAGTATTGGAAGATTGGCGTAGCTAACCACCACACCTTCGTAATGCCAGTGGTTAGTACCAACGCACACTTTTTAAGAAACATCGTAAGCGCGCTATTTATCTATTACGTACTACACACTAGCACCCAGATTTTTGAATTATTTTGGAGAAATTTTTTTCTATAAAAAAGTTCATCAATTTTTGAAACAAGTTCACGAATTTTGGAAAAAGTTCATCAATTTTGAAAAATAGCTGATCGAATTTAAAAAAACATCAATTTGAAAAAAGTTCATCGAATTAGAAAAAAAAGTTCACACAAGTTTGAAAAAAGTTCAATAAATTTGAGAAAAGTTCATCAAATTTGAAAACAAATTCACCGATTTGAAAAAGTTCATCGGTTTTGAAAAAAGTTCATCGAATTAGAAAAAAAAGTTCACACAAGTTTGAAAAAAGTTCAATAAATTTGAGAAAAGTTCATCAAATTTGAAAACAAATTCACCGATTTGAAAAAGTTCATTAAATTTGAAAAAAGTTCATTGGTTTTGAAAAAAGTTCACCGAATTAGAAAAAAAGTTCACCGAGTTTGAAAGTTTTTCAATAAATTTAAAAAAGTTCATCAAATTGGAGAAAAAGATCACCGATTTGAAAAAGTTCATCAAACTAAAAAAAATCACCAAATTCGAAGAAAATACTCAAACTGGAAAATTCATCAATTTGGAAAAAGTTGCGCATTTAAGAAAAGGAAGAAAGGGAAAAGTAAAGTAAAATAACAAGAAAAAGGAAATAGTTCCGTCAAGTCCAAGAGAATAAAACGTAGAAAGGAATAATGTTGCCACATTCTATCGACGTGGCCTAGTGGTTACACTGGTGTGCTTTCACTCAAGAAGTCTCAAGTTCGAGACCACGGGGGTGCCTTTTTTCTGACATTTAACAGAAAAAGAAAAAAAACTAAATGGGCCAGCCCAGCACGGACGGGGGAGGGGTGCGCCCTGTAACATTTATGCCTGTAATGGGCGCCAAATAGGAACCAGCTGAAATGGTATGGCATCCCTATGTATCGCGTAGGTGGATTTTGTCAACCAAACGTGAGCACCTCCGGTTGTTGCTAGGAGAATTCGGGTGGCCCAAGTACCACAGGACCCCTCTTTCGGTTTTCGTAAGGTTCTCAAATTCAAAATTTCTTCATCAAATACAAAAAATGTTCATCAAAATTTAAAACAGTTCATCATATATTAAAAAAATGTTTATGAATTTCAAAAAAATTCATAAAATTTGAAATTTCTTCACCAAATTTTTAAAATTTTATCAAATAAAAAATTCATCAAAATATTAAAAAATATCATTTTTAAAAGTACACAAACATTTTTTGTATCGGTAAACATATTCTTCAAATTCATAATTTTTGTATGAATTCACAATCATTTATCCCAAATTAAGTAACATTTTAAAGAATTTGGAATATTTTTTTCAAATTTATGAACATTTTTAAATTTGTGAATATTTTAAAATTTTGGGGTTTTAAAAACATGAATATTTTTTGAAATCCTAAATTTTATTCAAAGAAGAAGAAACTAAAAATAAGCGAAAAAAAGAAGAAGAAAAAAGGAGTGCCCTACCTCGCGCATGTGTT